GGTAACTTTTGGAGTGGTTCCAGAGTTCCTGCTACCCCTTAGAAGAATCAGGTTTTGCATTCCTATTCTGGAGGATAAGATAGAGGCATGTTATGGTGGCCTATGCTTTTCTCCTTCTACAGTTAGAGATGCTTTGAGGCAAGGTGATTCAGAACCAGGAAAACAGCACAGGGAAAGAGCTTTGTTGTTTGATCAAAACACTTTACTTTTCTTTAGATAATTCCCCCAAAATGTCAGCGGATCCAACCAGAAACCAGATATGGGATGCTGACAGCGTCCCACTAACTGAGCCAAAATCTCTGCATGTGAAATAGTGCTGTGCCCTTGGGCTCGGAGAATGAGAGCCATACAAAAATCTAATTTAGTTATAGTAGAAACATTGTGAAAAAAAGTCTTTTGAAATATTTTATTTTCTGGGATGATCTGAGTCAGCAAAAGTATCTTCAAACTGCATCTCATAACTTTTTAAACCAACAAATCAAGGAAAAAGCCCCTGCAGTTTTTCGGACTATGTCCCATTGAGATTAATGGCAACCACAGAGAAGTACAGATCTGTTCCTGCCCTTAGAAAGTCAGTGGCCCTTACTCACACTGAGTAAGCTGGTCATGTGGATCAGACCCAAGACTTTAACAACCATGCCCCACCCCCACCCCCACTCCTACCCTGGAACAAAGTGTATTCCTTATTAGCATGAACACAAGTATTATAATTTAGGTGGCAAAGATTTCTGGAATATCAGATTGGGGATGATTGCAGCAGAGAAGAAGACAGCAAGGAAAAATTAATACTGTATGTATAGGCTTTGTGCAGAAATATCGTGTGGGATCCAGTCCCACATCTCTCTCTTAACTGCAGCTGCCTTTGTGTCCTGAAAATCTACTCCCGAGGGCTCTCCACAAGTGGTGTTTACATCAATTCTGACATAGCAACACACTGCCATGTTCCCATGACATCACCCTCCTTGACAGCCAAACACATTTTCCTCCAGCTTGGCTGTGGCACCGTTCAAATAGCAAAACGTCTGTTTTTGTGGTTTGTGACAATAGACAATCTGGGGGCTTAGACATGGCCTGCTTTCCTGTTTCTGGGAACTCTTGGCTAATTCTGCTCCTGCTGCCTGACTTGGGAGCTCTCTAGTAGATTTAAGAAGCAACCTTATCAAGAAACCTCACCATCATCTTTCTACTCAGTTTTATGGTCCCTATAAAAAAAACTGTCCAGCTTGGTTTTCTCTGCTTATATAAGCTGCCAGTAGCAAACATGCTTCGTCTTCCTTCCCAGTCCCTGGGCTAAAATGAGCCATTATTCTCCCCCCACGCCCCAGTCCTGTGTAGAGACTCTGTGGTATAACATACAACCATAGTTGCAGGTGGAAGAAAAATTGTCTGGCTGCATAACTACGGTGCCAGCATCACAGCTTTCAGTGTAAGTTCATATGCAGGAAGCATGACAACTTGATAGTCAGGCAGTTTTCCTTGTACAAAGACCTCAGATTACATTATGCAGGAGCAGGGAGAGAATCAGGTTATTGCAATGCAAATTTACTGATGTTCCAACTTGATAGACCTTTTGGCATATGAGCTTTACATGCTATGTAGGGCTGTGTAATACTTCACATTTAATTCCAAAAAGGTGTTTTGAAGCATGTGGGGTACAAACACAGCACCTGTTTGCAACTCTTTAAAGCAGCCCCATTATTTTTTTCTGAAATTGGAAAAAGTTAAGTAAAGCAAATGAGGCTACTGCATGAACCTGGGAAAAGACAGCACTGCTGTGTCTACAGTGACTACATTTGTGCCCCGTGTGTCCTAAAGAACTCCTTGGAATCAAATCTGAAGTACTGCACAGCTTCAATTCTATTTTTAGACAGTTCCTTTAAAACAGTGGAAACTCATGCAAAATTGAATGTGTTTGTCCCATCTTTTGAAGATTCTTCTTTTTTCAGAGCAAGTTCCAGCAAAATCTCAATTATAGAATCCAGTGTTTGGTGTTTCTTTCATCTCTGCCAGGATGTGATTTGACAATCTAGTAAAAATGCATTTTTAAAAAATCAGCTGTTACAGTTCCAGAGTAGGTCATGTTAGAACAGTTATGGCAGAGAATGTTAAGAGTTACACCATTTATTTGTTTATTTTAGTTCTATCCCACCTTTCTCAGAGGAGCTCAAGATGGTATACATAGTGCTCCTTTCTCCTATTTTTCCACAGAGATAACCATGGACGGACACAAAATCACCCAGTGAGTTTCTATAACTGAAGGCATACTAGAGCTTGGGTCTCCCTGCTTCTAGTCTAGTATATTAACCACTACACCCCACTGGCACTATTACACAGAAAGTGTTCTCAGGAAAATTAAGACTTCTGTTTGTGTAATGTCAGTTTATTTCTGTAAGGCTTTAGGTTTGCTGTGCTGGGACTTCAGTTGATTTATTCTGTTCTGCCTTTTTTGCTAGCAGCAAAGCTTCCTCATTTTAGAATAACTGGGGGAAGTAGTAACTGCTGTGTCTCTTGTGAAATCATGAGCTCAGTCCCTCTGATCAGCAGTCAAGAAGTACTCTAATTCTAGTTGAGAAGGCACCTTCTGATGCAATTATATGTTGATACACCTAGACCTGTTTTGTTTCTCCACTTTTACAGACCTCTCTCCTTGTGTAATTAAGATGTAGCCTTATTTACTTTCATATTTGCTGAAACTTTGTCGCCATTTCAAAGATCTTTTTCTTGCTGTTTCAGCATCCTTGATGGGTTGCCATCTTTCTTAGACTTCCTCTGACTAATGAGTGACAGGCACAGCAAAAGGAGTCCAAGGCCATGCTCAGTAGGAGCTTGTTAGGAGTACCTAGAGCTTCCTGCCTTGTTCTCTGGTTCTTTTCAAATATGCAGGCAGTGAGAAGAGGAGGAAGAGAACATAGCATTCTTGCTTTGCTTTGCTCTGCCTTCATCCACTGGGCAATTGTATAGATTCTACTGAGAGGGAACAGGCAATGGAGTCAGAAGTGAGGAGGGCTTAAGACTAACAGGGTTTTTGTTTTTTGTTTTTTGCCCCAAAGCCTTGTACAACCTCAGCTGTTACAGTGGCATAAAAAAGATTGATGTAATGGAGAGATGGTGCTGCTGGAGAACCTTCTGTGTATTTTGAAAACTTACTATTAATCAAATCTAATCAGCATTTGTAACTGACATTTATATGATTTATTATCCAACTTTACCAAAAGTTATCTGTGTTTATATTTATGGATAGCTGCACTCACACAAACAAGAAAGGTTCATTTTGAATGAACCTGTTGTGCTGAAAATTTCAATTTATTTATTTATTACCATTCTCATTCAGTTTGGTAGGAAAAAGGGCTTTGATTCTTTTTTTCTTCTCCAAATGAGGCAAAATTTTCAGTGAAGGTTTTCTGGATAGAGCAGCTTCTCTGACTTCCTCCATGCCAATCCCATGATTGTGGGGTTTTTTTCCTAAATCAAGAAGCAAGGGCGGCTGGGAAAGCTGCAGAAGGGTGGAGCGGTAATCTAAGAGAAAACAATTGTGGAGTATCCCACAAAAATAAATGAAACTCACAAGCATCACCAAGAGATTCTAAAACACCCTGAGAACAAAGGAGAAGAAAATGGGAAATCATATAACAAATGTTGGCGCAATATTTGTTAAAATTGTACAGCTAAGGCTGATAGGTCTCTCTAAATATGTGTAGGATTATTACTTTAATCCAGTGTTCCTCAACCTTGGCAACTTTAAGATAGGTGGACTTCAACTCCCAGAATTCCCCAGCCAG